GATGGGCATGTTAAGAATTCAGGGCTGCTTTCCTTGGTGTAGACAGAGGGATCTCCAGCTGTTCCAGCTGTGGAAAGGCACGATGGTGACTCAGTGATAGCATCAGCACTTTTCAGACAGAGACCTGCATCACTGATCCATGGGGGAGTGACTTTTAGGAAACAAAAGAACTCTTGGGCTTGCAGACACAGCAGTGAGGGCCGTGCAGAAGCACCTGTTGGTTTTCAAGCGTGGAGCTCCCAGGGTTTGCTGGGGCTGAAGTGCCTCAACCATCCATGGCACAGATAATAAAAATGAATTTCACTTACAGTGAACCCCTCGTTGTGTTAAATGAAAGACAAACCATCCCTTTGGATAAAATATCTTGGGTAGAAATGCCATGATGAGTGTGGTGTTTGGAGATTTTCCGAGTTGGTGCCTGTTTAGTGTGGTTTCAGCCTTCCTTCTGGAGCAGGCTGGAACGTGGGGAAGGATGTTGAAGTACTTCTCCACACTTGTATAACCCATCCTTTTTTTTTCCTATTGCATATTTGCTTGAGAGTGGAAGGGAAATAAAGCAGAAAGTCTTTTTCTGTAAAAGCTGAAATGGCTCTGGAAGTCCATCCTGCAGTGCAGTGATGTCCCCATTTCACTGTTATACATAAAATACTTGATCCTTGGGGGTAAACAAGTAATAGTAGTGTATAAAAAGATCTGAATAATGCTTCTTACTGGGTGTCTGTCAGTTAAAAACAGAAGTTCAGAGAGATTTAGAGATGAACAGTAATGTATTCCTGCCTTGGCAAACCTTTAATTTAAAGCACTGCAATGTATTTGCTGTTGAACTTGTTAGCACAGAAAGGACAGAGATGAGCCTGATAATTAATGACTCCCCCTCAACGAAATAATTTCTTTTATCAATGTGTTTTTTTCTCCAGTTGTATTTTTAGCTGAAAAAATATTTCTTCTCTGCCTCTGTGTAAAACATGCCTGTAGACAAAACTGGGAGGCTGAGCTGTGTGTGGTGAAAAGAAATGACTGAAATGGGTTTTTTCACATCGTGGTCCATCAGCAATGTACTTGTCTGAGAAAATTTTCATTGGGTTTTACTCTATTTGCAAGTAGAATTAAAGTGCACTTGTATCTGAAGATTGGAATGGTATTTCTGTATATTTGCAGTTGTTAGAGACCTGTTATTTTCTGTTGACTTCTCTTGACTAGTTGCTGTTTAATTAATAAACTCTTGGGTTTGTGTTGTGTTGGTGATTTCTTGGCTCGTTTTCTTGGTTACCTCCATAAACCTCTCCAAGTTATAACAGTGTATTTGGTTATGTGGCAGCAAGCAAAGGCTTTTTTCTTACTGGACAATAGGTAATAGATCTCAGTGCTCAGAAAATCACTGCCCATTTTTTTTTCTCTGTTCTTATTCAGGCAGCCTTGAGTAACTGAAAATGTCTTTGCAGCCTGTAGAGAGAAACAAGATGCACTATCAAATACATATTTTAATCTTAGTGTGAACTTAATTTTTTTTAATTGACAACCTTTGTTTCACCTAACAGATGGAAAATTCGTGGATTAGGGTATTTAAGTGTTGCCCTGAATAAATAGAAATGTCCTGATGTTTGGAAAATGGTCAGAATCCCAGCCTGAACCCTGGTCATTAGGAAAACAGGCTGGGGAGACTTGCAAGTTGTTCCTGGTTCTCTAATGAACATGTTTTTACTGGAGCAGTGACGTAATGCATGTCCCATTTTCAGCTTCCAAAATAGGGTTGATACTCTCATGCCTGGTTTTTCCTTCCTCTGAACTGGAAGCAACAGCCTCTTTCAGAATGCTTTTTGATTCGGGGATTTAAAAAAACCCAAGCACACAGAGAAATGCTAAATATGGCTTATAAAATCAGAAGATAGACTATAAAACCTAGAAGTACTGATTTAGTTTGAAAGAGGTGATCTGCAATGCTTTGTGTAAAATGACTTGCTTTCATTTGCAAACTTTGTTCCCAGAAAGTTATATTTTTTCTGAGGGAATATTTAAAACTCTTAAGTGTAGATTCAGAAATCAGGTCAAAATACTTTTTGTTTCGAGCATTTTGTTTTAGAGTGACCACAGTGTTTCCTTAAATACAAAAGCCTTGTATTCTCTTATCTGAATAAATATAATTTGTTTCCTGGAGCTGAGCTTTTCTAAGTACACTTTTCTGAGAGTCTAAGCTTGGATGATGCAGCAGATCCTCTTTCTCATGTGCTCCCCAGATGCTCTAATATCTGCAGTAAGTGTGTGGTATTTGTGCACTCAGGAGACACAGTAGTAGGTGGAGGTTTGAGCTCAGTATGACTTGGTGATGTTTTCTGGGATGTTTAAATGTTTAAAACTCAGGGTTGCTGGTGCCTGTGCTTCACTTATGGCACAGAACCTTTACCATTCTTTTTTGGGGGGGGGATTTCAGTGAGTTGTCAAAGTTCCCTGTGGTGGATGTTATGAACAATATCCAGGCCTTTATAAGTGCAGCTTTGTGTTGCTGTTGAGTTTGGAGGGAAGGTTGAATGAGAACAGTTGTTGTTTGATGGAGCTGCTGAGTGAGCCTTTCAGAGTCCCGCTGCAGTTGTGGAGCATTACCGACTTCAAAACAGACTGAATGTGGCCATCACCGAGTCTTTAAATTGAGTCACGAATTCCCCCGGTGACACATCAGAACAGCTTCACTTCCACAGGGGCTTCCCTGGGAAATCTTGCCTGGGACCTGACTGTGTGTTCCAAGGAAATCATCGGAGTGTGGAGTGAAAGCTCGTTCCTGCTCGCAGTGATAAGAGTAAATACCTTGTTGGTACTCAGTGATCGTGCTGGGAATTGATATTTGTGCAGCAGTTGTACAATTTGTTTCATATTTTCTGGGGTTTATTGAATTTGTGTGCCAAAAATTAACCCCCAAATTACTGTTGCAGACGCTTCTGTTGTTGTCATGTTTCATTTAGGCAGAAAAAACCCCAATGACTGCACACAAGTCCATATAGAGTCTTAATTTTATTGATTTCCAGTGCAATTCATCTTGCTTTCCACATAGTTTAGTTCATTGTTAACAGAATAAGGAACTTGGAGGAAGGAGAAAGTGCAGAAAAATGCAGAACTGCAGGTATAAAATTTTGAAACTAATAGCTTTAAAAATGCTTGTTGAAGCTTTGGGTTTAGTGCAGCTTAATTTCTCACCTAATTGTGGTTTGTGGGCAGGTGGTTCCTCTTGTACCTTGTAGCTGAAGGAATAGAGGAGTGCAGTTTGTGAGGGATCTGCCTAAACTGTGTTATACCTGGATGTTTAACTGCATTAATATGTTTTATCATCTTCTAAGAAACACCCCTGGGAGGTTTGGAAACAACCAGTTGTATAAAAGCTGAATAAAATATTTGTAAAACTTTGTAAAAATACCAGGCTTGTTTTTTGGTTTGAAAATTCTTTGTAAGCTATTAATTCTAAGCAAAATAATTTAGAGCTAGCATATGAAATACAAGAAAAGTGGTTTTTTTACAACTCCAGTGAAACAGTCAAAAGGTTTTGTTCTGTTTTTCAAATTTTTAACTGATTTATTTAACAGCTGAGGTAAGAAAGCTCTGCTACCCAAAATATTTAATTTATAAATTGACATGTGGGGATGGTCCCAGTTGGCAGTGAATAAGGGCACTGGGTTTTTCTCTCGTGTTGAAGCCTCAGCTCAAGTACAGACTTTTATACTGAGTCCAGTGCTGAAATAAGTCAGGAAGTTGTAATAGCACATTCCAGAAGAAATGCTTTTCTTTGGATGTGTTCAGGTGTTCACATGGAGCTCCTGATCCCATCCCTGGGCTTTGCTGGCAAACTCTAAATCCCACAGAACCAGCTGCAAAACTGGACCTTAAATCCAGAAGTTTCAGCCCTTTGGCTAAATGCTCCCAAAGTGTGGAAATCCCAGGACAGAAGGAGCAAATCCTGGAAGAGCTGAATACAACAGAAATATCCTTTCCAAGGACATTTTTCCTTTTCATATGGATTTTTTAAGCAATGCAGCATTTGAGTGATGCTTGGCACAGGGGATGGTGTACAGCATTAATTTTTTCAGTGTGAAGATGGGAAGGATTCTGTGAAATGTATTTGGAGTATATTTTACTAGAATGTATTTTAAATTAAACCTTAGTATTTATGCAGAGGACTTAGTAAAAAAAAAATCAGCTAATCATTGTTATAATAAGAAACCTAAAGACAGGGAAGAAATAGAATAAAGTGCTCTGAGTCAAGAGGGATCAGTTAACTTCCAAAGAAGGGGGATGCTAATTTATTGAAAATAATGTATGACAGCAGGAAGGAAAGTGATTCCAGCCTAATTTGCAATAAGGCTTTTTTTGTGTGCATTAAAAAAACCAGAAAGGAAGTGAGTTGGTGTACAAGAGTCTTGGATATGGCATCATTCTGATTTAATTTTGTCTTAAGTTGTGGGTTTCTGAATTTGATGCCTACTTGATTTAGGAATTTTTGTTAGAAACCTTGTGGAATCTCAGGCTTCTGTTAAACAAGAAGGCAAAATGCTTTAGTGTAATAAAATACCTTAATAAAATGCTCTGCTTTTAAGGAATATTGTCCTGTTTCTGACATGGGGTAATAAAGGCTCAGTACATGCATTTTCTTAATTTGAAAAGCACAAAAGGCCTTTCATAATGCTTTGATATAAAATTCTGGAGAGATCTGACTCCTAAAGTTCTTAAAATACTCAATCTTGAACAAACTCACTCACTTTAAAAAAAAATGGAACAATCCTTCCTGGGCACATTTCTGCTACATCATCATTTAAAATGGGAGAAAGATTAATCCATCTTGAGATTATTCATACACATTTGAGCTACAATAACAAAACTGTAGCTCAGAGCAGATTTTTTCTAAAGAAATATACTCCTTTTTGACAGATGATTTAGAAAGAGAAGCTACAGGTCTGTGTGCTTTCAATTCAATGTAAATTTGTAGGTAAGTGCATGTTACAATTGTCTGTTTTTCTTTTCAGGGCTCATGTAATCAAAGGAGTTTCTTTGTTGTGAGTATCTTTTCAGAACACAACGGGAATTCAAAATGAATCAGGTGAGTATGAATGCAAGACTTTATCAAAATCCTTAGAACAGTTAATTATTAATAAAAAAAGTAAATCATCCACTACAAGAGAAATGGTCTTTAAAATCTTCAGTCTCATTAAATTTCCTGATCATCCTTTCTACCATGTGTGTGCTTGTGAGATTGTTTTATTTCAGATTGAAGTGTTTTGCAGTGTCTAAGTTATTACTCCTGGCACCTCTTACGAGAACACCTCTCCAGAAAAATCTATTTCCTCCTCAAGCTGTAGGTAATAATTCAGCTCCTTATAAAAGTGGCTTGAAAATTGAAGGTTTCCATTTTTTTAAAATCTTTTTTTAATGACTTTCCCATTTCAAATGTGCAGTAAACAACCTGCCAGGGGAATTGATTGATTGGGAAGTTTCACACTTGTCTGAAATCTGAAGTGTTTCTCCTGGAATCCAGTGGAAAGACTGGGAGAACACAGTTCCTTTGTGGTGCAGTACTTTGCTGTATGAATTCACAGATATCCTGACTGGAAGGTGTTGTTTTAATCAGTGCCAAGTGTGGAGCATTTTAATTCTGCATTTGTTTTTATCCAAGTAGGAGTTGTACATCAGTTTGTCTATCACACACAATTGCATTACTTAAAGATACAGAAAAAGTACACGTGTCCTTACATTTTCCTCCTAAGTCTTTCTCTCTCTGGCTGATCTTCCCAAGCCCCTTTGGTGTGGGAATGTGACTGCAGGAATGTCATTTTTACTTTGCTAAAAAAGTCAGCCACGAACAGAAGCTTTATGAGTCAGAAAACCACAGTCATGTCAAAAGCTTTGTATACTTTTTATTGGTGCCTGTAGCTAATGTGTGCTTTTATTGCCCTTTATACCCTTATTTGATCAGCAGCAGCCCTGAATACAGTTAACACTTTAGTGAAGTATGTTCTCTCTGAATTCATAAGTAATTACACTGTGAAATGGGTTGGTGGGATGTTTCCTGTTGCTTTTTTCCTCTGATTTAAACTAAAAGGCCTTTGAGATATGTGTACACACTAAAAAGGTAAAAAGCAAAATACAGTGTCTGTCAGAGCCTTGAAATATGTCTTCTAAAAATACATATTTGTATTATATCTGTAGAGAAATACAAATAATGCCATTTGCATTATCACACTTTAAAGCATCAGTAGTCTTTTTTCAGGAGTAGCAAGTTTAACTGTTGCTTCACAATTTCTGTTGAGACTTGAAATGTTTCCACCTGTAGGGTTTGTTTTGATGCCCTCAGTGGCACAGAGGGAGCAGCCCATTGCTCTGTCTGCTTGAGGAATAATCCTGCTCTGTTGGTCCTTCTGCTAAGCTTTGGATCCTGCTAAAACTCTGACAGCTGTAGCTCCTCACCTGTGATTGTTACCACTGACTGTTTCCTTCCCATCTGTGTGTCCATGTCCCCTCGTGTCCTGCCTGTCCTGGTGTCCCCCCACCCCTGACCTGTTTCTAGAGCTAAGTAACATTTCTCTGCTGTATCAAAAGATACCTGTCTTAGGGGACTGCTGCTCATTTCTGCAGCCCTGGGATGTGACACAATTCAGGAGTGAGGTGACTCTGCCTCTGGGAACACTTTAAGTAGCTCAGAGTCCTCCTCAGTCTTTCTGGCTTTCACATTTAGTTTCCAGAGCTCACATGGCTTTTTGTTGTTCTATTACCATTCCTATTAAGTGTGTATTTAGCATCAACCCTGTGGTGTTTTTTTCTTGCAGTGCCTTTGTCATTTCATTCACTGTTGACAAGTTGTAGTGCCAGGTCTGTATAAGAAATGTTTTTGCCTGATGCCAAACACCTTTCAAGTGTTCTGTTCTCATACTTCTTTCATTCTGCTTGTCTCTGCTTTTGGTGTGACTTCAGTGACCCTCAAACTAATTGGGCTGGTGTTAATTTGGTTTGTGGAAAAACTGCTGGTTTTGTGGTTTGTCTTGTAGAAAAGTAGCGAAGGAAAACCTTTTCATAAATGCTGTGATATGTTGTAAGGAGAAGAAGGATTAAAATTAAAAAAATCAGCTGTTGGGTTTAATATTTTTGGGTTTCTTGGAAGGTTGCTCTCTCAGGATGGGCAGTGTGCATCCTCTTTTTTAAAAGATCTGCCTTTAATATGTGAACTAGTTCATCAGGCCAAGCAAACCTGGGGTTTGACTGGGAGCATTTCCTGCACCTCAGACTGCAGTGAGACAGAGCAGGAGGAATTTGGGGGCTACCTGGAAAACAGCATGGGCAGGTATTTAAGAAGTGCTGGGGCACATGGTAACAAATTATACCTGTGCTGGTACTGAAACTCCCTCCTCCCCCCATTCCTTCTGAATCTTTCAATGATTATTTCCAATATTTCTGATACATCTTTAATTTTCAAGCACACAAAGGGAAACTGTGACAAAGAGGGGTAGCCAGGCTTGGACAGGGAGAGACCTTCCTTCTTTCCCTTTCCTGTGCTGCCTGGCACGACTCCCTTTCCTCAGCTACCTCTTTTAACTCCTCTGCCATCTCCCTCTCTCTCTCCATGGCATCCTTTCCTTTATCTCCTCACTTCCCCTAATCCTATCTCCACCCAAACCCTGAGTGCTGGCAGTCATCCCACTGTTCAGGATGGTTTCTTCCTATTTTGCTCTAATCTCTGATCACCTGTAAACATCTTGTTGCAGGTGCCTTTTCTACTTGGCTTAAATAATGTTTGTAACATTATAGACTAATTTGTAGTTGGTCCATAGGGACAATTGTATTGAAAGCTGTGTGAAAAGTTGCTTAATGTGTTGAAAGATGCTGTCAGAGTGAATGGACTCTGGATTTGATGCAATCAGGAAAAGATGGTTTCAGTTAAGGCACCACTTCAACTCTCAGAGAATTCCCTGGCATTGTTCTAAAGTCACTTTATGCTGGATAATTTGAATGCCAGAAATGTAATTTTTTTTATGAACTTCAGAGTAAGAAGCTTAGAAGTGAAATGACCTTCAGGTGGTTTTGTATTCAAAATTTCTGTCTTGGAGGGAGCGAAAAATACTGCATTAAGGCTTTCAGTTAAATGCAAAAGTTGGCTGTAGGACAGGCACAGTGCATTACCCTTATCAAGAAGTGAACTTTTTAAACAGAAAAAAAGATTTAAATGTGACTGTGAACTGTTGGGGGAAAAGTGTTTGAAATACAGCATTTCTTTTGGTAGACAGACATTCCTTGGGGACAAGCTGAGATCTGGAAAACGTTTCAAGTAGCTCCATCTAAATTGCAAATAAAAATATATTGCACGCATTTGACTGAGCTAAATTGTTTATTTTAGTGTTTTGAATTTGGTTACTTGTTACCATTCCTTTGAGGTGTGAAGTGTATTGTTGTGTACAAGGCCATATCCAGGTTTGTAGTACTTGTGAAATCCATTAATCTGACAACTGTTAGATGAGGCTGAGTACTGTGTTCTCTGAATGTCCTGCTATTCTTTGATTTATAACAATAAAGTTCTCACTGTATTTTACTCCATACAAATAGACTTCTTAAATGGTAGAACAGTTTGGGGATATTTATGGCTGAAAAGCATCATGATTATTAAGGAATATGCCAGGAAAATCGAAGATATAACACAGTTCTGTACACTTCTGTCTGAATCAGTTGAGTCTGGTTTAAGTTTTGGTAGGTTAAAGTTTATTTTCTGGCTTGAGATTTTTAACTATTCATGCAGCAGTTGAGATTTTTGACTGCTCATTTAAAAAGCCAAACTGAAAACAAACCCCCCCAAAAGAAACCAAACCCCAAAGTGAAACCCAAACAAAAAAAACCACCCCACTTTTACCTTGAAACTGGAAGTGCCTGGTTCAGAGAGCTGTCACACAGCCCCCCTCGTCTGTGCCTGGATATAATTTGTTAGAAACCACTGGGAAAAATAGCCTTGGTTCTCCCCTGCTGAAATGCTGGGATAATGTGCTGGAGAGATGTTTGGGTTTCTTTGATATGCTGAGAAGAAGGTGTTTGTTTTTCATCTCAGACATGGCTTCTTGCATATCAGTTCAAGGCTAACAGATGTCTGAAAATCAGGCTTCTTTCATCACTATTTTTCCTTTTGGGTTGTTGGAAGAGCAAAATACATCTTTGCTCTGCTTTGAATAAATTTCAGCTATTAGAACTGAGGAATAAATATTTCTCCCCCTCCCTGGTTTCTTTGCTCTCTTGGATGGGAAGGGATTTCTGGCATTCTCTTCCTTCCATGGTTTCCACTTTGGGGGGCTTTCTCCCCTACAAATAGCTCTCTGGGAGCTCTGTGCAGCTGTTAGGGCTTACCAAGGCAGCACCAGAATAACTTTGCTCTGACTCCAGTTTGATCAGTTTTCTTGTCCTTGCAGAAGATTTGTTCTTGTAACTTCATTTTTGTAAATGTAGTGACTCATTGCCATAGCAGCACCCTCACAAAGAGTGGGTGCAAAGGCTGACAAGATTTATCTGTTTTGCTTTAGAGATAAACCCCTGAAATTTGATAGCATATCAAGATGGATTTTAAAATCTATTTCCAGTAGCCTTTCAATATATTTCATAAGTGCTCCCTGGAAAAACTACTGTTGTATCTCTGCTTTATGGTTATGGGTAAAGGCAAGAATCATTTCCAAAAAGTCAGGGTTTACTGAGACAAATTTCTCAGTTAAACACCTCCAAAAAATTGGTTCAGGGCTCAAGTATAACACCCTTAATGTTAGAATTGTTCCTACCATCACCCCCAGTATTGGTTTCTAACCAGAATGATTAAAGTTTGTTGTCAGAGGGCAGGTGGGGTTTTTTAGGGCATGTGGTTCAACACATGCCTAGTTCTCACCAAGCACAGTCCTTTCAGAATGTGAGCACATTTTATGGAAGCTTTTCATTCTTGTAACTTTAGAATTCTGGTCGTTTTTATAAGAAATAGTGGTTTTAAAGATATAATTAGGTAATAAGGAGCTGGGTGTTTAATGACACTGTGTGAGTAGCATTTACTGTTGTGTTATACAAATAATAGTATGAATAATATTATAAGCAGCCTGTTGAACCTTGTAGGCTCCTTAAATTGGAACTAATCACTTGCTAAACATTTGTAAATCGTTTATTAGCTTTCTGTTGCCTTTCAAACTTTAACATAAAAATACCTTAAAACCTTTTGTATTAATTATAACCTACTGGCTAAGGCTTCTGAGCTGTTTATTGATTTAGGAATTATGATTAACACGTGCAAGTTCTGGTATCTACACTGGAGCAGTTAATTTACTGCAACACCCTTCTTTCAATAGGTAAAACAATTAAACTTTTCACTTCTGTGAACTTTATGTGCTTCTTGGAACTTTGAGTTTGGTTTTCTCCTAAAGTTGCTGTTTAGTCTTTCTCACAAGTTACATGTTTTCACATAAGACAAGATCAGAAGCTATTTTAGGTTATTTTTTGGAGACTGATTAGATTGAGTATGCCTGGAAGCCATCCTTAGAAAAAGGGAAATAAATGGTTACTAACATATGTGAAATTATCCTCAGTGTGGCGAGTTTGGAAATTTTACTTTCGTTTCAAGTCGGGAGGTTTTGTAGCTCGTGTGGGTTGATCATCAGTTGTTTTTATCTGTTAATGCTTGTTGGCTTTTGGACTTGTAGAACACAACTGAGTCTCCTGTCCCTGTGGAGACCTTGGATGATGTACCTGAGCACGTGCTTAGGGGCCTTCCCGAGGATGTGAGGCTCTTCCCCTCTGCTGTGGACAAGACACGGCTGGGTGAGTGCTCCAGCTTTGAGAAGGAGGGTTTTTACACAAGCTCACATAAATCAGAGTTGCTGTCAAAATTTGGTGCCCTCCTGTGCTGGGTAGAGATAATGTTTGGTTCACTTATCTGAAATAATTTCATTTGGGAAGAGTGGACAGCTCCCCGTTTGGAGACAGACACACGTACTGATCTCAAGAAATATGAATTGGGAGTAGATTTGCTTGAAATAACTTAATTAGTTTTAACTCCTGATATGTGTCTCCTCAGGTGTCTGGGCAACAAAATCAATTTTAAAAGGCAAGAAGTTTGGACCATTTGTTGGTGACAAGAAAAAAAGATCTCAAGTCAAGAGCAATGTGTACATGTGGGAGGTAAGAAATGGCCTGTAAATGGGAAAAGGTGTCTGTCACTAGGTCAGTATTTTGTATTTACTTTACTTTTCCCACAGATTTTACAAGTAGACTTGATGTAAGGTAATTGCCATCTATTACTAACAGTTATTTATAGACACTTGGACTCTGAATTACAAAGTTTTCAACTGTTGGCACTGCTGGAAATTGCTGTGTTACTTTTTTATGTGCTGTGTGTGGATCACACCTGCCCTGAAGAGTCTCTCACTGGTAGAGCTTTGCTTTGTTGGCTTGAACCCTGAGTGCTCTCCCTCTGCAACTGAGGGCTGTCAACTGCTCCTGAAATCAGGGAAATGAGGAGTTTGTGGAATCTCTTAAGGAAGCCACAGCACTCCTCCTCATTTAGCTCTTTCAAAACCAGCTTTGTTATGGGAATGGGTTTTCCTTCTGGAGCTTTTATGAGTTCTCAACTCCAGCAGAATTTCTTGTGCTGCTTGTGTTTGGGCTTGCCTTGGAGCAAGTGCTGTCTGGACAGCTGAATAGCTGCACTGAGAGTCATGAGACTTGGGATATTATGTGCATTTGCAGAATGTAGGTGGCTTAATCTGGAGTTGAATCCTATCCACAGTGTCTTTAAGGCAGTTCATAACCACTTCCAAAGACTCCTTCAGTCATTCTGAGGACAAGTAGAGCAGGTGGTTTTAGCAAAGGGAATAGTCCAGGAGGGGAGGGATGCAGGAGCTGTGGCAGAGCATGTTCTGCAGCACAGTTTGCTACTTTATGGATTTTTAGGCTAAAGATCCTGCTAATAGTCATCCATCCTTCTGGCCCCTGGTCTGCAGACACTGAACTGTGTAAAAAACTGGACACACATGCAAAGCTTAGTGTTAACCTCTATCCAAGGATTTGATTCAGGACAATTTCCCCTAAATGCAGGTTCCTGTTTAGAAAAGTAATCAAGTGTTCAAGTAGAATGTTCACTGCATTGAGCTAATGCTGCCTCAAACTCCCCTGCAAAAGGTATCTCCAGTTTTGATCTGGTGCAAGAACATTTGGTGAGATTGAATCAGCCAAGTAAATTATTGACCTTGCAATTGTGTTTCTCTCAGTGCTGGGTTTTGAATGTTCTTTGGGGATGTTTTTTCAATTAGTGTTGAGAAATGATAGTTGCAACCAAGCTGTTACAGAGTTTCCTAGTTTGCAATGCAAGTGATAAATGGGAACCCTTGGTAGATTCCAGAGTAATTGTGTGTTGCTTTAATACTGATTTTGGAGTCAGGAAAAAAGCAGCTAAAATGAGACAACAGCAGTTGGTCCCATATGGTGATACCTGAAACCAGTCCAGGCTCTGAACTGTTGGAATATATAGTTTGTAGAAGGATGGGGGGGTGTGGGAGCAGTTCAGTGTGTGGACCCCAGCTAGGGGAACAACCTTTTCCACAAGCATCCCGTTTGCTTCTTTAGTCCAGTTAATCTGAATAAAAAGTAAGGCTTCTAAAACTGGCATCTCCAGTCAACTGTAATGGTTTTGAAGTGTCATGGTGGGGGATCATTGTGCCAAAGGTGAGCTGTGTGTGGCAGTGTGTGCTTGCTGGGTCTGAGGAGAGAACTTTCCTTTTCCGTTGGAGAAAAGCCCCAGGTAGGAAAAGGAGAGCAAGTGGCTGAAAAGGGAGGGAAATGCTGTCAGCAGGTTTGGAATGACTGGCACAGCTGGAGGGGCTTTGTTGAGGTTAATGGGAGTCACAGCCAGTGTTATACAGAGGGGTTGGAGCTATTTTCACAGTGCACAAGGCCTTTAAAAATATTCTGTACATTAGAAGGTTTATCTGAAAAGTAATCACCTGTTCTGTTTTGTGAAAATACCATCATAAAGTAATATAAAAACATATTAAAGTAATATATATATATATATAGAACAAGTAATTAATAATTACATTTTGACATATAGTCCATATCTGTTTAACTCTTCCACAGCATTGTTGGCTTTTTTTCTTCCATTTTAACCAAAAGAGTTGCTTTTGCAGTCTCATCTGTGATGCTGTTTATGCTTTCATATTGCAAGGGCTGGGTGTGCTGGGGAACATTCTTTCAAAAGTCAGCTGGAATAGTTTAAGAAATGGAGATATTTTCTGTTTGCTTGGAAAGAAATCAAGATGATTGTGGTATATTTATTAAAATTTTACCTTTATTGATAAAATTCTGTCTTTCTAAATCAACAGTATGTCAGCATAAAAGAAATCAAATTTATTAAATAGGGGGTTTTCTAGCTGTTGTAGAAGTTTTAATTGAAATTGAAAATGGAAAATGGTTTTAAAAGCCTTAGCATTAGTTGTAAAGTGTCAGAACCAATAAAAAGCTACAACACTGTAGATTTTTAGCTTTTTAGAAAAACAAAAAAGGAAAAGTACCCAGTGGTTGCTCTTTGTACAGGCATCTAACTTGGATTATAAGAAGACTGGGAGATGCATAACAGCTCTGGAAAGAGAAGCAGAGCTGCCTGTCACCAGAAAATACTGGAGATGTCACTTCCCTTCTTGCTTTATTGCAACCTGTCTGGAAATGTAAACCAGGAGTAGGTGTTAAACTTTTCTTCAAGAATAGAAACCAAAGAATTTATATCTCAGAACATGCAGAAGGTTATTGACAGGGTCAATTTTTTAAGGTGAATCACAAGATTTCTGAAAGGTTAAGATATTCTTTTATAACCTGAGAACCGATTAAATATAAATTATGCTTTCCCATATCTTTCCAAATAAAGCAAATGCTTCTGACTTCTATATAGTTATTTTTTCCAATTCACCAGATAGTAAAAATAATTCTCTGTGCCTTTTTGTCTTAAAATCAGTCATTTTACTCAAGGCAAAATGTAAAGAGTATAATTTCAAGCTTGCCAAACTGAAAACATGAAATGTTTTAAGGATTTTGGCTTTTGAGCTCCAAACCTTCAGAGAAGGGGTTGCAGGCCAAAAGTTTGGCTTTTTTTCCAGTTGTACCTGACCCACTGAACTCCTGCAGAAGAGCAGCAACACTGTGCCAGCCCAGCCCCTGCCCCTTCCCTGGGGGCTGCCTGTGCCCTCAGATGGGAAGGGTGACTTTGTGGGGCTGTGAAAGGTGTGGTTCAGTGCACATGGCCCTTGGTTTAATGCCATTTCTCCCTCAGGTGTACTACCCAAACCTGGGCTGGATGTGTGTGGATGCAACAGACCCAGAGAAGGGCAACTGGCTCCGATACATAAACTGGGCCCGTTCTGGGAAGGAGCAGAACCTGTTTCCTCTGGAGATCAACAGGACCATATACTACAAGAGCCTAAAGGTATCACTGTCTGAGAATCAGTTCCTGCTTTATTATATTTTATTATTATACCTTTTATTTCCCTTTATTAAAATAATTTTTTCCGCTGTTGGTGTTGAACAGATTTTGAAACGTTTTCCAAAATTTATATTTACTTTATATTTGTCTTCTTTATATTTACTTTAAAAATATAAGTAAGAAAATATATTTGAAGCATTGCAAATGCTACATTTAATTGGTATAAATTTTTCTCTGCCAGTACAGTTGACATTAAGATCTACTGTTAAAATATAGGATATATTTCAACAGTCAGTCTGCCTTGTTGGTCAATGATTTGCAGTAGCACCGAATTTGATACAAATTAGAATGAAAAACTATAGCAGATTATATAAAATAAATGTTCTTCTATTTTTTTGGATACCAAGATAGTTTCTACTGAGGGTTTTTTTGCAGCAATCAGTTATTTTAGTGGTCTGTGCATCAGATGACAAAGCTTGGCTGTCAAGACACTTTTATAGGTAGCTCCATGAACCAATTTTTCATGGGTTTATACCATTTCAGTTTTGTTCAGGGAGTGAGGGGGAGGCAGGGAAAAGGATGTAATTCCTGAAGCATTTTATCTCCCAAACCAAGAAAAAAAATGGCTTTAACTACAATGGTGGAGCACACTGGGGTTAGAATATTGTGCCTGGAAAGTATTGACTCTGAGCAAGGAGCTCCTGGCAGTGAGTGTGTGCAGCTGGACTTGGTTTTTATTTGAAATGCTTTTGGGGGTTGGTGCCTATGCAGCCTTGTTTTTGCACTGTTGCTGTTCCTTCCATTTCTTTGGGAGGCCAACAACATCCATAAATAACTGATCTTTGCTTAATGCAAGGGTGAGTTGATCCCATGCAGTTTTGAAGTTTATAGGGCAGTACAGCAGTGTGCAAAACTGTTCCATTTTAGGTCATTCGAGCTGTATTGAAAAAACCAAACTTCTAAACACTTTCTGATCTTTCTGATGGCTTTGTGGTAGAAGTTCACTATTTCCAGCCAGACTACTGCCTTCCCTGCAGTGTTTGTTCCCTGAGGATAGGCTCCCAATGTGAATCTGTAGCCATCCTTGCTTCCTTTAGACACTTTATCTTGGATTTCCTCTGTCGTTGCCCATAGTCCCACTAAGTCATTAATTAAGTGTATTTTTTGAGTCACTCTGACATTTTATATTTCTCTCTCATCGAATCTTTTCTGCAAAGGTTTTAGTCCTGATAATTCAAGCATTCACATATTCCAAATTGGGTTTTTTTGATGGATAAGATTGCACTTTGGAAAATAACTGTGCTGCTGAAAGAGGCCAAGCACTGCTTAAAGAATAACAAATACCTTGTCACAGCACTGAAATATCCTTTTGTTCCTTTGGCTGTTGGCTCTTGCAACTCGATGAATTTTATTCCAGTCACACCTTACTGTTAACTGAGACAAAAGAAGGCATGTAGTATAAACCATCTTAAATGTCCTCTTTTTCTGTGTATAACGTGTTATGGTCTAATTTCAAACCTGCTGTAAATTTACCAGCCTAGGTATGAACACACAGTTCTTCCTGATCTTTATCATAATTCATAAATTTAGGGGAATTCCACTTGCTGATAAATAAACAGCACAGGTTATATCTACCCCCAAAGGAGAATTCAAGTGGCTTGTGTGTAATTTTGTTCTTCTTTACCTTGAAGCATTTAAAATATTGTCATGGCTATTTTTTTTCCCAGGGTTTTCTTGAGCTTTTTGTGGGTTTCTCATCTGTAAGTTAAACAGGCTGATTTCCAAGCTTTCCAAGCCTCATTGCTAAGATAAGCAAAGTCCAAATTTGCTTGGTTGTAGAACATCAAACCTGCACAGAGCTTTAACTTCCCTGTTCTCTGCTGCCAATGAATAGTTATAGAACTTTTAAGTGAGCACAAGCAAATATTTTTCTCTTCCATCTTCCCTTCATCTTCAGTGAAGGGCTGAGGTTATTTGTAGGCTGCTTTGCATCTGCTTTCCCCAGGATGCATATGAGAGCTGGGATATTTCAGTGAAGCAGCTTAAACTCATGATGGGGTTTCAGAAGCTCTTCCTGCCTCTGCTCATGAAAGGAGCTCGTTGATCACTGTTGTTCTGCACTCAGGGCAGGGCTTTCATTCCACAAGAGGTAAAATTGCAGTGAAAACACAGTTTCAAAAAGTCTTCTAAAGAAGCCTGGCTGTGAAACTCTCCTTGATTAAAGTGAAATTAATTTGCTTATGGAAGAATGTTTTGTCAGACGGGTTTCTAATAACTCAGGATCCTCCCTGTTACACAGGAGAACACAATAGAACCTTGGGTTATACCTTGTGAAAGTTTCACCCAACTAAATGTCACTTTGATTGCTTTTGGGGATGTGAGGCCACATCCAGGTGCAGAAGCACAATATCACAGTAAAATACAGTGTCTGTGTGAAAAATAAATATTCTGCTAAGGTCAGGCAGGCAATGCCTGTCTGTCTGTACAGCACACATTGCAGTGCTTGTACAAGGAACTGAATTTTAGACAATCTGGGCTAGAACTTCTCAGGATATAATTTATTAGGATACTGCTCTAAAAAATAACAGATTCTGAAATTACTTTAAACCTTTTGAACAGAAAGTACTCAGATTAAGGACTGTTAAACGTTGTAGTTAAAACACAAAGCTCAAAAAAGCATTAACCTGAGGAGCCTTTCCAACATTCATGAGCCAAGCTGTCCCCACCTGACACTGCCACACCAAGGATCTGGAGGGAATAGTTTGGGGGAGGTTGGGGTTGGAGTTGTTATTAGAGGTGCTGTCAGGAACAGTAGTGATGAAGTGGCACTTGCTCAGTGTGGTCCTTTTCTCACTCCAGTTGCCAGTGGGGGAGCAGTTTTTAATTGCCTGCTCTTGAAGCTGCTGCTCCACCTCATTTTAGAAGCTCAAGGTTAGAGGGCTTAAATTGGATTCTAGAGCAGTCACCATGACACTAAATTCATCAAGCTGAATAATCCAGCCATGCAGCCAACAAATTCTGTGCTGGTTATCATCCCATGTTTGCATTGCCTAAAACCTCAGCCAGCTCTTTTCTCCAAGCTTTTATATTTTTTAGATGATAAGGGGTTTTTTTGCATCATCAGACAACTCTTCTGCATTTTGCTGCTCAACAGCTGCAAAATGGGCCCATGCAAAGAGCTTTGCCTCTGTTTCTCCTGTCAGGCCTCTGGGACTGGGGGAAGGCAAACCTTGGGCTTTGCTTATGTCAGAACTTAAAAACTTTGCCCAGCTGGAATCTTGCATCTCTTGTTGTTCCAGTGTCTGGGGGTATGAAGGTAACTCTCACCTTTATTGAGTGCTGTGGGGCTCACTGAAAAAAAAAGTGCTGTAGAGGAGAGAAATCATACTGTTGTTCTTGATACAAAAATCCCCTCTGGCTTCAGACTGGAACTAAGTCTAAGGACACCCTTTGCTCTATTGGAATGACTAAAAACAGGATCTGATCTCCACCAGCCCCATGGGCATTAAGCCCTGAAAGAGGGGGATTGTAGTTAAGGCATTTAAAGTTTTCTTGGGTTTGGGTAGAATGCTTCAGGAAACGGAGGAACAATGAGGAAGATTTACAAAATAAGTACAAATACATCTTTAGTCTGCAAACTTGGGGACTTAGTAATTTGAGTCTGATAATATTTTAAGGAGCATGTGAAGTAAACTGATCAATACCAGTTTCTTTTATTGGCAGTGCTGGGAATATGAGTAGCATTTGCAGTGATGCCTATTTGGCATTGGTCTTTCCTGTGATATTTTTTTTTAAATTGGATTAAAAAAAACCTAGAAATAGTCAATTTGGAATGGCAATCAAACCTTTCATTACTGTGATGAAGTGGATTTGTTAAACATGCTGTAATTATCTATATTGCCATTAACCCACTGTGACAGTCTGTAGATTTTGTTCCAAATCCCAGCTGTAGTGGCTGCCTGAGCAGTGTTACTTATTATTATATTAGATTTAATTAATGTTATTTAATGCTTTGTGTAAGGTAGTTGTGTTTGGCTGGTTGCTCCCTGGGAAGAATTAACTGTGAATATCCATAGAAGTGAGCTCAGGGATGTCACTGTTTGCAGGGATTTAAATCAGTGTCACTAATTAAGGCAAACCACAGTTTGGGATGTTGGAGCTGGAAGTTCCATGCTAATAATAATAATAATAATAATAATAATAATGCAGGAACTGTATTAATAATTAACTATTTAACTGTATTAATGTTAACTACAACTATATTAATATTAACTATATATTGTCAGGAACTGTAGCATTAGGACAAGGAGTAGTGGGTACAAATTGATTTCTGTGATTTTTTGGGGGGGATTTTTTTTTTGTTGATTTTTGGTGATTTTTTTTTTTTTTTAATTTGGTGGTGCATTTTGGAAGGGAGTGACTTTTGTATGTGTTTTCTGTGTGTTTTTCTGTGATTTCATTCATTCCCGGGAGCAGGGTTTGGGGTGTCTGTGATTGATGAATTCATTAATTATGGGAGGTGGGGTTTGGGGTGTCTATAATTGATTAATTAGTTAATTAATTACAGGGGTGGGGTTTGGGGTGTTCTGTGATTGATTATTAATTAATTATAGGGGCAGGGTTTGGGTTGTTGTCTGTGATTGTTCTATTAATTAATTCCCAGGGGGGGCGAGGTTTGGGGTGTCTGTAATTGATCCATTAATTAATTCCTGGGGGACTGGGTTTGGGTTGTTGCATGTAATTGGTTAATTAATTAATTCCGTGGGATGGGGTTTGGGGTGTCTATAATTGATTAATTCATTAATTAATTCCTGGGGGCGGGGTTTGGGGTGCCTATAATTGATTAATTCATTAATTAAATCCCAGGGGGCGGGGTTTGGGGTGTCTATAATTGATTAATTAATTCCTGGGGGGTGGGGTTTGGGATGACTATAATTGATTAATTAATTCCTGGGGGGTTGGGTTTTAATAATTCCCCGGGGGGCCGAGTTTGGGTGTCGTAGATCTGCATATAATTCATTAATAATTCCCGGGGGCGGGTTGGTGGTGTCTGTTAATGATTAATCATTTAATTAATTCCGGGGATGGTTGCGTATGACGATAATTGATCATAATTAATTCCCGGGGCGAGGGTTGGGTGTCTGTAAATTGATTAATTCATTAATTAATGCCCGGGGGCGCGTTTGGGCTGTCTATAATTGCATTGAATAATTAATTAATTCCCGGGGGCGGGTTTGGGCTGTCTGTAATGATAATCATTATTAATTCCGGGGCGGTTGGGGTTCATATAGGTTGATTATGATTAATAATAATGCCGCGGGCGGAGTTTGGGGTGTCTGTAATTGATTAATTCATTAATTAATTCCCCGGGGGGCGGAGTTTGGGGTGTCTGTAATTGATTAATTCATTAATTAATTCCCCGGGGGGCGGAGTTTGGGGTGTCTGTAATTGATTAATTCATTAATTAATTCCCCGGGGGGCGGAGTTTGGGGTGTCTGTAATTGATTAATTCATTAATTAATGCCCGGGGGCGGGGTTTGGGGTGCTATAATTGATTATATTAATAATTCCCCGGGGCGGGGTTTGGGGTGTCTGTAATTGATTACTCTCCATTAATTAATGCCAGGGGCGGGGTTTGGGCCTTGTCTAATTGATTAATTAATTAATTAAAGCCCGGGGCGGGGTTTGGGCTTGTCTGTAAATTGTCCATTAATTACTCGCGGGGGCGGGCTCGGTGTCCCTCAGCCCGCGCAACCCTCCGGGCCGGAGGGGGCGCTCGGCGGCGGCGGCTCCGCGGAGGCCCGCGCGGGGGCCAGCGCCGGGGCCGCTCCCGCTCCCCGCCCCGCCGCCTCCGCCCCGCTCCCGCCCCGCTCCCCGCACCGCCCAACCAACGCGCTCGTCACTGGCCCGGCTTCCGTGTGTTTGTGTCCCCGCAGTCCACAATCGCGGCGGGCGAGGAGCTGTTGGTGTGGTCACAAGGCGAGGACGACCCGGCCATAGCGGCCGCGATCGAGGAGGAGCCGAGCGAGCGCCCGCAGCCGCCGGCACTCCCCGAAGGCCCGCAGAGGTACGGGGACCGCGCCCGCCGCGCCGCCGCACCCGCGGGGCGCCCCGCGCCGCGCCGCACCGCCGTGACCTTCCCCGGGGAGCGGGACGGGAGGGGAGGCCCGGCCCGGCCGGCCGGCGGCGCCGCGGGAGGAACGTGGAATTGTGGCGGCTGGAAAAGTTGGGAAGAGGCGGCGCGGGAAGGGGAATGGCCGCGGGGACACGCGGGGATGGGGCAGGGGCACAGCGATCTCCGCGTGCGGGCGGGGGCTAGCCGGGGAGCCGCGATCCCTCATCGGGAAGAGGGACTGAGCCGGGGGAAGCCGCGATCCTGCCTCGGAAGATGGAACAGCCGGGGCCGCCGTGATTACTTCCTTGGGAAGGGGGAACTGAGCCCGAGGTCCACAACGATCCCTCCTTTGGGAAGGAAAGGGGGAGGCTCCTCCTGGGGCCGCCGCGATCCCTCCTTGGAGAAGGAGGCTGATCCCGGGCCCCGCGATCCCGCTCTGGAAGGGGGAGGATGAGTCCGGGGCCGCCGCGGTCCCTCCTTGGGAAGAGGGGACCTGGGCCCGGGGCCGGGGGTGCGTCAGTGGAGCCGAATGAAAACCGCCGGCCTTGGTGCTCCCTGCGGTTTTTAATTCCTTGTTGTTTTTAGGCTGATCTGGTGGCTGTGGAATCTCGAATGGCTGCTCCTGCCTGGCTTCGGCCGAGGAGGGACGGTGGGAGAGGCGTTTTGGGAGGGGGGGGTACAGACACGTTATTCCATGTAAATACATATGTCAGAGCAGACATCCACGATTTTTTCCATGACTAATTCAAGCAGCAATATTTTTCGGAGTGCGTGTGGCCTCCATGCGTGGCCTTATATAACTGACATTTTCACCAGCGTTTTAGGCCGAAATCTCAGTAAAGCCTTTGGTTACAGGGAGTAAATAAAGAAAGAAAACATTCACAGCTGTAGCACAAGGATGCCGATTCCTCTTGCAGGGAAATATGTGCATTTTGGAATTCTCTGAATGTTACAAATGAACCAAAAGAAAGGTAACATTTTAAGTGACATCATTGTAGTATTTAACTTATAATTTAGGGCCTGATCTTACAGGTTGTGGAACTCACATTGGGAACAAGCTCAGATATCGAGGAGAACAGTTATTATGTAAGTTTTTTTATTTTAGAGATTGAAGAGGGGGCTGTGGTGCAACACAATTAGTTCTTTTGAACAGTAATTTGTGGGTTAAGCAAATACAAGCTGAAATTCAAGCACTGATTTTTATTTACCTGCCTGTAATGAAAAGCATATTCAGCACATATATGAGCAAGGCTCAGTAAATTACAGGCTGTATTATGGTTTTTCCTAAATCTGCTTTATCTTAGCACATGGAGTTTGTGTGCCTGTGATTTACCTGAAAGGCTAGAAAAACAACCTGCAAGAATTTGATTATATGATAAATCAGAGAAGCCAGACAGAATTAATTTCCAAGGTAATTTTTCATGGCACAGAAGTTTGATTTGCATTCATGGAGTTATAGGTAAAAATATCAGTAAACTAACTTGGTTGCTGGGTTTTGATTTTGTGCTGGTTTGTAGGTTTCAAGTTTTAACTGTTATGGGCTTTGCAGGTTTCATAATTAGGAACAATAAATCTTTTCCCCCGTTTTATGAACACAGGCTCTGTACCAAGGCTCACAATTATTAAATAGAAAGCAACCCAGCAAAAAACAACTCCAAGCACAATATTGATGAAGCATTTGAGAACAACCAAGAGCAATTTATTTATGGAATTATACTCTTGTATCATGGAGGAGAAAGACCAAATTCTTAGCATTTAGTTGATTTGAGTTGTTATGATTCAAGTTTCAGTTGTAAAATGATAAAACAACTGAAACTGTATAATTCTGTTTTTCACAGGATTTATTGGAATTCTTTTCTCTGCATTTATTCTCAGCTGTTTTAGTGTTTGTAGTAACATCTGCTAATATTTGCAATTCACAGCAATTTTCTTGTAAGAAATATATTTTTTTCCTCTGCAGATTGATAGCAGTAGGTGCAGTGAGGATTCCAGAATGGTTTCTACTGCTATCCCTGGTTTTGTAGCTTCAGCTGTATCCTTGGATATGGAAGTTTCTTAACCCCAAGCTTGAGAGTTGTTTGGAAAATAAAGGATTAAATGAAGGAGCAGGATTAAAAGTAATTAATTTAAAAATAAATAATTCTAATTATATGATACAAGAGTGGTGGCAGGAGAAGGATATTGTGAGTTAACTTGGTGCATGTGGAAAATTAGGAGTCAGTACAAGGTAATATTTGAGATTAAATAGCAATTTAAGAAGTCTTCTAGAGAGAAGCTCCTCCAGAGGGTTGTGGAATTTTAATTTATTGGTGACCTAAACAGATGAATAAATTCTTTCATAGTAAACTTTATTTTGGCCTGTGTTGCACATTGTTGTCTTACACATTAAGGAGAAAATAGAAGTAAGAACTGCCAAGTTCTGTGAACAAGTGTGTCCTTTAGGAACAGGTTTTCCAGAGGAGTAAAGTGACAGTTTAATACCTTAGGAATGACTAGCAAGATATTATTTGAGAGATGTATTATAATTCAGTAGTTCAGAACATGGAGGTACTAAATAAAGCTCATAATTTTTCTGTATTCAGTAAAACAAATATCCTTTTGAATTTTTAATGCATCTTGGGCCTTGTCCTTGGACAAATAAGATATTTACCAATTAGCAAATAACCTTGTTCCTGCCATTGATTTAATGAGCCCTGCTCAGAAAAGGTGACCATTTCACAGGTGTTAAAAATGGGCTGGTTTTGCCCAATTGCTCAAGGCTTTGATTGCTGTAGAACTGTCCATGTTGTTTATTTCTGAATAAATCCCCTGGGCTGTAGGTGAGACCGAGATCCCAGAAGAGGTAGGCTGGACTAAATTTGGGAAGTGGAGGTGGCATTTAAGAACCAGCAGCTGCCCAGGTCTGGGGCAGACCCAAAGTCCAGCCTGAATGTTCTCCTTGCCCTTGGTGTGACCTGTTCCCAAGTGATCCCTGACACAAGGTCCAGAACCTCCTTCAGGGGGGATTTAGGATGGCACTTCCTCCAGGTGCCACCTCTCCCTTGCATAGCTTTGCTTTTGGGGTCTGCATTCAAACCCCTTCACATCCCCCAGGTGTTGGATGACTCCTGCCTGGCTCAGCCATAGCTTTTCTGAGCTGGAATAAATCCTTTCCCTCTTCCTTCTCCCTGGCACAGCAGCTCAGGAGCCCAGGGGGAAGAGGCAGCTCTTACAAATATGTTTGTACATATTGAAACACTGCATTTTGTTCCCGAGGTGGTGAGTGCATTTGAGATTTAGAAAGAAATTTAGTAGGATAAATAGCTGTTGAAGAGGGTAGAAAAAAGGAAAACAACTTGATGAACTTGGGGAACATCACAGATTTTTAGCAGAGCCAAGCTGTTACTTTTGCCATGATAACTAATGGTAAAGAGCTCCCAGCTGCTGGTGCATGACCAACAACCAGCTGAAAAATTACCTGATTCTTTATTTTGTTGCTTTTGCATTTTCTGAAATTGCATTTTCTAGTTAAGCATTTCTCATCTGCTTCTCCCAGGTCGTAGTTAATGTGCTTTATTCTGCCTGCCAAGCTTGTAGGGAATTTTGTTCAACCAAATGCATTAACACAAAGTCTTTCATTAATTCTCCTTCTAAGGAAAAAAAAGAACAGCTTGGTTTTTACTTTACAGTTGAATTCATGTGTCCTTTAGAGGAGTAGTGTAGATATTTTTTTGTAGATATTTTTTTGTCTCATCAGGGCATTTCTTCCTCTGCATATGACAGTAATAATTTGTAGCAGTGAGCAGTAATATCAAAGATTAATGTTTCCTTCCAGAAGGAAGACTTGGTGTCTCTGGCTTCAGACTCAGTCTTTCTTAAAAAAGGAACTTTACACTGACTGAAGTATTTTTTTAAAGAAAGGATGGTCATAAAAAAAAACAAAAACAAAAGGTAGTCATACATAAAGATATCCTGTGGATTTATCAGGATATAACCTGCTGCAGGGTGCTGCCTGGGCTCCAGTGTGATCAGACAGGGCTAAAATCTCATTTCTCTCCTGGATTATGTGGCAGATCAAAAGTCTGGTTTGGAAGAATAAAGATACTGATGTTACCCAGGATAAAAGCTTGCCCTGCTGTATGCTTGTGAATAATACCTCTACAAAAGCCTTTTTTGGGGGAGAGGAGAGCAGTGCTTTCCTTCTGCTGTGCTTATCCTGCCCGTGCTGGTGCCTCACTGTGCTGTTCCCTGTGTTCCACTGCTCACCCTGCCAGGCAGCAGAGCCCTGGCACAGCCTGTGCTGGGGCTGCACTGAGGGCTGCCTGTGCTGCTCAGCCTGTCAAGAGGGGGGGAAAAAGGCTGTAATTCCATTTTTCCAAAAGCATGTGCTGCACAATGCAACTGGAGTGGGTTGTCACCAAACCAAGTGACCTCAGAAGCACAGTTGTGTCAACTCTTAAAATGCTTCTCCATTGTGGTGCAGGCAAAGCACCTGCATCAGGGTCACCTGTGCCATGGGGATTATTTATTATAGTCCAGTTTTGAAGTCTCAGACCATCACTAATAAATCTTGTAAAACTTTGTTACCTTAAATGGTTCTGCTGCTGTCACAGTTTTGGTGTCCCCATAGTTCTTAAAGGTTTGAGGGAGAACATGAGCTGTAGGCAAACTTAGTGACCAGTACTGGCCCAGGGACAGCATGGGATTGAATTATGAATCAGTTATTATCTGTTATAAAGAATTTTTTGTGCCTTGGTTTGTATCAGTGTGAATGCAAAGGGCAACTTCAGGCTTCTGCTTCCCAGATTCTAAATAAAAGCTGCCATCCTAAAAGTCACATTGGTTTTTCTTCTGTCTCTAAGTGTAATTATTGCTGAAACAGTGTCAGATTGCTGCTGGAGGAAGGGGAATGTAAGGATGAAATCAGCAGGTTGAATTCTGGGATAGTAGAAATAGTGCAGGTTTTTTTTGTTAATACTTTCTTAGGCATTCTCATGTAGTTCCAAATAATTAGCTGTACTTCAGAGTCCCATAAATATGCATCCTGTTTACAAAAGGTGGGCCTTGGATTGCCAGCTGGATGTCATCACAAATGGAAATCATGGCCAAATGATGCCCTGATTGTCTGGTTTTTTAAGGTACAAGAATTTATTAGGCTTGTGTGCTTGGAATAAGTTTAAAAGTTTGTTTCTAAAGAGAAAAGAGCTTGTGAGAGAAATGATTGTGTATGAATTGGAATGTAACTTAGAGAAGGATGTGTAGGTTGTACATTTGTAGCAAGGATACTGTGAAACTGTATTCTTATCTAAGCTCTATTTCCAGTAAATTTAATGAAAAACTTTCATTTTCTAACCAATGACTGGGGAGAGACAAGCAAGGAAGGAGGAGTTCAAACAAGATCATCTGGAGCAAAGTCTTAAAACTGGAATTTACTTTGATTTCCCCAAATCACATTGATTTACAAGAAGGTTTATA